GTGAAGTTTCAGGGCTTGGATTCTTAAAACAATGATTTGTTTTCTTAAAGAGTAAATTTAACCTTAAGGATTGAATGTATAGATTTCATTCTTTTATACAGTTAGCCAGTTAAGTGTCAATAGAATTCCTTATTTTCCTTTTGCAGATTTAACAAAAGTGTCTGTAGCCAAATGTTTACATGTGATTGTTTCTTTGTCTGGATTATTGAAAGAGGCTGCAAGAAACAAGGAGTCATTTTTTAAAGCCGGTTTCCCTTCACATATTACAACATTCGCTTAATTCTTTCCACACTCCCACAGAGTCCCTTCTCACCTTCACATACCCTCAAATCATTTGCTTCGTCCTTCCAAAGAAAACGTTTCTCATTCCTAATAACTTTCCAATATTTGCTCTACTTTCCTTATTCCTTCCACTATGCCCATAGGGCTCTAAACCTTTTGCCTTCCCCTTCTTCTTATGATACATCTTAATTCCTGCTAAATTACCTTTTTTTTTCAATGACACAGGTTTGTCCAGTATTAATTTGGTAAGGAGGGTGGGCTTTCCCATTAGCCCCCACACCTCCTAATTCTTTTCAATAGGTAAATCCAAATGTGTATTATTACAGTCAACTATTACTAAGTTTAAACTTGTCAGTATAGGGTTTTCATAACATCCATGCTGCAGCAGTTGATCTATGCTGCTGACTCTGGGGTGGATCACTCGACCATGCTCTGTAAGGAGATTTATGTTGCAGAATGTGTCTCCTTGTTAGGGCAGATTTAGCTTCTAGTGATTACACTTTCAAATTCAATTCCTACTAGTTGGCTTTTAGGATGGCTTTTGGGTTACGTCCTCCTACGCTCTCAAGCTAATTATAACAGTGTGTGAGGGAAAGGTTTTAACTGTTTTTTTTTCTGGACAGCCCCCACTTGTGCATTGTGAAACATCCTTGGGTTGCCTGCGATTCCAGCCAGAGAGGCTGTTGTTATCTATTTGCTAACAAGGGCTTGAGAATCTCCTACAGTTGCTTGGCAGCCCTTTCCTACTCCTGTGTTGTGTTTTGTGTATATGTATCCAACCAAAATGCCTAGGGCCAATATGGCTTGATCGTCGGCAGGCATTCCTTCCTTGAGAATTTGGAGGAATACTTCCCACAAGCTGTTAAGTCTATTCCAAAACTCAGTGTTTTGCTTTGGATCGGACAGATTTGTAACTAGAGCCCATTTTTCCATAGGGAAGATCTAATCCCTTTCAATTATCTTCTGTGCCTCCTCTCTATCTTCAGTGATGTGTGGTAAGGGCCCATATAGGGCTGGGCATAGAGAGGAGTAGAGGGGGTAATGTTGGGCCAAATTCCCCCCTAAGCTTGGGAGAGGCAGTGCAATTGCATGTAAGTTACATTTCTCACTGCAGGGAGGATTTTTGCTTTTCTGAGCTTCAGTCTCATCCCTCAGGGCTTTAATTTCTTTCTCTGTCAATCTGTCAAATGCTTACAGGTCCTTGGACCATGATGCACGTACATGTAGTACGCAGGGGTGCCTTTCAGCTGTCTGGGGGGGGTATGCTTAGACTGATCCCCATCCATTTTAGTCATTCAGGGGAGTATCCTGTCCGCTCCCCGTCCGTTCAGTGGCTTATAGGAAACTAAAGAAGGGGTCTGCTGGGTATAGAGTGTCAGACCTTATCAGCAGCTCATGAAATAAGGGGAGTCATCACTCCTTCACATATCTGCTCGGTCTCGAGGTTCGGCTGACCCCCCTTGCGTTCAGAACTCCCTCGTGGGAGAGCCCTGGTGCGGCTGGAATCAGCTTACTTCTCAGAGACGTGGGCAGCGGCATTCACGCTTCACTCATTACATTCACACTCAGCATGGTTTTCACACAGAAATTTTCTCACTTTTAGAGGCATCTCTCTTTATGGACCTCGTCCATATTTGGGGCGGCAAACAACACGTTTCCCCCCAGAACCACAGCAGTTCCCAGCACTGCATAAACCCAGGTGCCTTATGTCCGGACGCAATACAATTTTCTTCCCATACCCGGGGCGGCACCACCAAAATCACAGCAGTTCCTAGCACTGCATAAACGTAGGCCTACTTGGGTGTAACAAAACAGTCTCCTTGTAACCGCTTTGCGTCTGACCTTGTTGCAGATTCAAGAAGTTCGGATGGCATGAGCCCACAAGAAGCAGACGACCCTACAGGCAGTCCTCCTCCACACCTCAGTAGAGATTTCAAAAGGTCTCTTACCTCTCATTTGGCGCCCTGAAGGTGAAGGGGGACGGTCTGCAGCTGCTGTCGCTGTCTTCAATCGGGCGTTGCCATCCAAGTCACGGCACCAAATTGTGGAAGAAAACAAGCCTTCACTCTGCATTGTGTTTAAGCAACAAGTAGCCAGAGGCAGTTTTATTACGAGCTGCAGCAAGGGAAAAACTGGTTCAGACGGGGGGGAAGCCCCCCCCTCCAAGGCAGATCTTCGAATACAAGCAATTATGAAGCAGTTTATATACTGTCTATTAGATATAATAACAATAACAATTAGTCTCCTTCCCATTACAAACACCTATGGCTAACAGTTATTTAGTTCCACCCAGATGCTCCTTATCTCAAGGTCCCTGCCAGAGTCAGCATTCTATCCTTATCTCCGTATAGAGGTGAGAGGCGAAGGCAGCGTCTAATTACAGATCTCGCGTTGTCAGGCCACAGACTTAGCCTGACTCTTGCTCTCTTGTTAACAAGACCGAGATGGCTGCACACAAATTCCCTTATTCCCTTTTCCTGCCTCCACATCTTATTTACATTGGGAAATGGAAAAACCATTATCTCTAGCAAGTACAGAATTACTTTTTTAAAAACTTTAGATATTTCTGTTCAAAACCGAAAATTAGGCTCAATCTATCCACTATATCAAAGTTGGTTTTCTGCTGTAGAATGCAGGATGCCCAAAGGGACTGGTAGTCTGTATATTTGCATGCTTTTTATTGCTTAATGCCTCAGGCATACAACTCGGCACTCTTTTATATATTTGAATATTTTGACTTATATTTCAGTTTTCAATATTATAGAAATGAGTCATGTCTGTAAAAATTCATTGAGCAGAATACTGAAAAGACATTTTTATGTTCATTATAATAATTAGCATTACAACCATTACAGATATACTTTTTATTTGTATAACCTTGTATCTACTGCCCTATGTAATCATAATTTGAATATGTAACTAAGTGTAATGTGGTGACATTAAAGAACTTTTAAACAGAAAATGCTTTAAGCTCTCTAACTAGTTTTTTCCACACAGTAAAAATGATTATTTTACCTGGTAAAACCCACTTCTGTCATTCCTGTTACCTGGGCCACTTGATTGTATTAGATCAGGGGTTCTCAAACTGGGGGTTGCAATCTCTGAGGGAATCACAAGGCACAAAACAAACAGCTATAAAATACGTAATTTCAATCTAATGTTTTTTTTTAGAAAATGACATACATTACACTGCAAGAAAAAGGTGTACTTACTTTGAAAGCACTGTAAATATACGACAAAATGATTACTGTTCCCAAACAAAATATATATTAACACCACTTTACAGAAACTGAACTTTAGGAATTGTAGTATGCAGCATGCAGGTTTGTTATTGTGAGTCTAAAAAGGTGGGACTTAGATAACATAAGAGTGCTTGATTGTTCAGCAGTTGAAGAGCTGCATTAAAATGCAGACCAATCAGAATACTGAGATAAATAATAAATTACATTTTTTTCCCTAACAGTCAGCCAGACAGAAGCAGCACTAGCTCTTGCAACGGCTATAGCCACCCCAAAATTTACCTTGGGTCCCATAGCCACCCCCTTACAGCAGGGGTGGGCAATAATTTTTGATGGGGAGCCACTCTGGCAAGTGGTTGAGGGCTGCACTCTTCCATGATATGAATGGAGGCAATGCGGGGTTTGGGATGTAGTTTTGGTGCAGAAAGGAGCTTAGGGTAGAGATTGGGGTACAGGAGGGAGATTGGGTGAAGGAGGTGGTTGTGACCAAGGGCAGGGGACTGGAGTGCAAAGGGTGTGACCTAGGGTAGGAGGGTATTGTGATCTGGGGCAGGAGACTGGGGTGCCAGATCTGAAAGGGGGTATGAGTGTAAGAGGCAGACAAAGGATTTGGGTATGTTGAGGGGGGCAGGAAAGGGCTGGGGTGTCCAAGAGACTTACCTGCCAGCTGCCAAACTAGCCTGCCTGCAGAGCTTAAAATGTTTCCCAGCCAGCCTGCCTGCTCCCCTGGCCATGTGCTTCACTGAATAACTGAGCCCAGGAGAAGGGGCATGGTTCTTGTTGGCTGCCTGTTATTCTAACAAGTAGCTCCCATTGGCTGGTTTCTGGATTGTGCTGGGGGCGGGATGGCTCCTGAAACGCCCCTCCCTACTTCATCTACAGTTTTAAAACAGAAATGGTGCCCTGAAGCCACATTTCTGCACAGTGCACAGGGCAAGCAGGGGAGCCTGACGGGCTCCCTGCTGTCTCCGCAGGCCAGATTCATAAAATCAGTACATTCCATAAATTCTAGGTACACAAGCATAATTAGCAAAACTACCCTATCTCGGGAGACCATCCTCCTTATGATAATCTTGTGGCCCATTGAGACAAAGAAGGGCCACTCATTTGGCCCACATACTAGCCTAAGTTTCCCATCACTGATCTAGATATTCTGTAAAACTTTCCAGACAAAGGGGTAAATAAATCAGTGGTCTGAATGGTTTTTAATTCCAAAATTTATCTGGCCAGGTGCTATATCTTGTCAAACAGTTGCAGATTTTTCTAGCAAGTCATAAGTAATTCTCTGTGAATGTTTTCTTTTACTTATATATATGAGTCAGTATTAAGCACAAAATGGCATTTTGTTCTGCCATGCTACAACTAAATTATTCATGAGGCATTTTCACCATTCAATCGGTTCTGTTATCCTCTCTCTCAAATAAGCTTGTATAAGGTACTTAAGAGAAAGATGTGAATCCTACTCAATGGACAATATGGCAGTAACACACATGCACAAGAAGCTCCTTCCTAACTAGGGATGTTAAATATCGGTTAATTGAATAGTCAATTAACCACATGAATTCTTACTAGTTACTCCACTACTCTATAGTCCCTGGGGGTAGGGCCAGCAGCCAGTGTGCTCTGGCCCCACTCTGAAGGAGCCCCTTGCCACAATGCGCTGCTGCCTCTGTATCAGAGGCTGCAGTGGGGGATGCCAGGCAGGAGCTGATCTGCAAGGGAAGCGTTTAAAAAGCAGCTCGCCTCATGGACCAGCTGTCCATTGCCCCAGGCTCCTGCCTCTGACACAGCCCATGTATCGCACACCCGAGGGTGGAGCCACCACCACCCATGCACCATGGCGCCCGCCGGGCCATTTCTATGCGCCCACCAAGTGATCGGGGCCGGGCCCGACCCCGGGTGCACGGCGCATGGATGGTGCCGGCCCCTGGGCGCTCAGAATAGGGGCAGCAGCGGCCCCGGGCACGCAGCACATGGGTGTTTAGGTGACCCTGCCCCTGGGCACATGGTGTATGGGCAGCGCCAGCCCGGGCGTGTGGCACTGGGTCAGCGCCGGCCCCGGGCGTGCAGCACATGGGCGACCCTGCCCCCAGGTGCGTGGCGCAAGGTCTGTGCCAGCCCCAGGCATGTGGTGTATGGGCGGCACCAACCCAGGCGCGCGGCACATGGACGGCCCTGCCTCCGGGTGCGTGGTACATGGGCTGTGCTGGCCCTGGGTGCGCGGCATATGAGTGGCCCCATCCCTTGGCGCGTGGCACAGGAGCGGCGCCGTCCCTGGGCACGTGACGCATGGATGCTGCTGGCTCCTGGACGCGTGGCACAGGCACCGGCTCTGGGCACGCAGCGCATGGGTGGTGGTGGCTCCACCCTCGGGTGTGCGATACATGGGCTGTTCCAGCCCCGGGCGTGCGGCGTATGAGCGGCCCCACCCCTGGGAGCATGGCACAGGAGTGGCGCCAGCCCCAGGAGTGCGGCGCATCGGTGGCACCGGCACCAGGCATGCGGCGCGTGTGCGGCCCCGCCCCTGAGTGCCCGGCAGCCCCACAAG